GCCAGACTCAACATCTCGCCTCACTAGAGTGACTGCGCAGAGGAAGCACTTCTGACGCCAAATTCAAGCATGTAGTATTTCAACTGCCCTTCTCTACGACAAAGCTATCGGGCTTAAGACAGTGATTCTCAATCTTCTAAATGTTGCGGCCCTTTAATACAGTTCCTCATGTTGGGGTGACACTTAAATGTAAAATTATTTCTGTTGTTACTTCATAACTGCAATTTTCTGTTTTCTGATGGTCTTCAGTGGCTCTTATAAAAGGATCGTTTGACCCCCAATGGGGTCAGGACCCCAGATTGAGAAATGCTAGCATAAGGGGAAAGCCAAATGCACACTTCCCTTTGTGTGATGCTAACATTCCCAGAAAGGGGCAGCAGGGGTGGGTGTCTTAGCATGAGGAATGGCCAGAAGGTAGGTAGGTAGCCCTCATCAAGAGCATCTTCTGAGCCAGAGATCTCAGAGTCTCTCTCTTCTTTTCCTAAAATGCCAGTATGGCAGGGAAGGCAGATAATACCTTTTTCCCCAAGAGGCCTTCCAGAGACACAAAAGTCTCCAAAGGCTAGGTAGGTAGGTGTGATGTTCTGTGGGAGAGAATGGCCATGTGGGTCAGGGGCTTGACTTTAAGTTTGAGCCAGTGGTTTGGTACACTACATTCCAGACCCACAGTATATCCTAGCCTTTCCTCCAGTTGTGTTCTGCCCTGTTTATTTTAGTAAACACTTCTTGACTGTCCCTTCTAGTCATCAAGGAAGAAGGCAGCTGCTATGTAATAAGATCCTAAGGAACTGACTTTGACCAAGGTCACTGGTGAGTCACAGGGCTGGATGTGTTTTGAATGCTCTGGCTCTTCCGACCTACCTGTCAGTAGTTGGCCCCCTACACACCCATCTGTGCTGAAGGCTTTAGAGCTGGTTTCAGACCACCTCCCTGCTGTTGTTCCCTTCCCCCTTCCTCACAGGGGTTCCCGTGGGCTAGTGGAGCCCCCACGGGCCCAGCCCCTCAGAGCACCTTCTCCCCAGCTTTGCATGCTCTCACTGCAATTCTTGGGTTTCAGCCAAACCTGCCCTGGACCACCAACAGTGTGGTCTCTAGTGACCAGATGGGTCGTCTTACAACTTCAGTGGTAGAAGCCAAGACACCGGAGGACAGTCCCCAGGGCCTGGCGGTGGCAGCAGTGTGTCACCACCTATCAGGTGCACAAGCACTCCCTGGAAGATCCTTGATGCTCCAGTAGCTGTTGTCAGTCTTAGTCACTTGACATCAAGTCCCCAACGTCCTCATTCTCCAAAACTGCTTCCTGAAGCTGGTGGTGGGGCTGCCCTTTGCTGGCCACATTAGAGAGGAAGAAAGGGCTTTCAGGGTCTGTTCCAGACACCAAAAGTCTGAGCATGTCTAAGCCTTCTCTGGACCTAAGCCCAGAGAAACTGTGTGAGAGGATTCAGAACAGAATCTGTTGAGCTGGCATTTGCTACGCCTTCATGGATCCGGCCACACCGAAAGGGTGAGGAGCTCTCTCTCAGGTCAAGGCAGAAACCAAGTTGAGCCTGAAACCTGAGAGATAGTGTTGGAGCTAAAAAAAGAGCTGTGGTAAAAACTCAACCAAAGATGCTTTGGCTTCCCAAACCCCCTTTCTGCCTCAAAAATGGTCTTTTTCTTTGTTTGCCTTGGTGTGTGTGTGTGCGTGTGCAAGCACACGAGCGCCTCACCCCTAATAAAAGCTTTTCATTACTGGCAAAACAAACAAACAATCCAAAACAACAACCACCAAAACAAAAACCAATTAGAACAGTAGATGGCAAATTGAACATAGCTCTAACAGAAAGGAAAAGAAACTCAAAGGGCACTAAGGTGTGGCGGTGTCAACACTCTGTACCATGTATCTACTCACTGTGTCTGAGTAGATTACCTAAGCTGGGGCCTTTGTAATAAGGAGCAAATTAAGGCAAATGTGAAGTGCGCTTAGCTCCATGCCTGGCACATAGGCTTGCTCTGGAGCCTTCCGGCCCACCTCACAGTTCTCTGCAGAGACCTGGCAGGGGGTGCTTCCCTCTGCAACTATCTGTATTTGCCCAGGACAGCTCTGCTCCTTCCTGGATTGGGCTATTCCAGGCCCCCACGGTAGATCATCAGGTAGGCTTAAAAATCAGCAGTCCCACAGGAGACCACATGCCTGAGGTCCACTAGATACCACAAAACACAGAGGTAGAGAGCAGCAGAAGAGAAGCTCCAAGGGACCAAATTCCTTGCCTTCTGCAATGGCTCACAAGGCCCCACTGCCAATGTTCCTATTTATAGACAGGAGCCAAGTGATCCTGCCATACAACGGCCAAGGAGATGGGCAGAGCAGGCAAACCACACAAAGGCTAAGAGATCTAAACATGTAGCAAATGCAATATAAAGCTTAAGGCAATATGTTTGAGAAGGACAAAAATCTGATCTAAATAATTTCTTAGAAACGGCAAATACATCTTTGAACAAACAAAAACTTGCAATAAGAATGGGTTTTTATTTTAACATGCCTTTGACAGGCATGTACACCAAGGCAGGGTATCATGAGATCTTTCTTTACAACAGCTGAAGTAAAGCAAAATACAAACATAATTAAGGAGACAGCACCATTTTATCCTGGCATCAACTGGCAGTACCAGTGATGCCATCCAGCAGGGCAAGCCTGGGGACCTCACTGCACTTTTCTTCCTGGATCTCTGAAACAAGGATGTAAGATCAGATTGCCTCTTTCCACCATTTGAATGTTATGGATGACCTGCAAAGGACAAGCATCATAAATTCTTTCCCAGTTTGTGTGTGACAAAACTCCTGAAGCAGAAACACTAGAGCATCAAATGCAAAAGGCCTGAATGAAGGTGAGTGCAGAGAAATGGAAGACTCAAACTCCATAGCTTTTGTGCCATCGGGTATATGCTAAAGAAAAAGCTGCATATCAGAAAGCCTCTATCCAGTGTTTAATCTTGGTCTTAAAGAGCCAAACTCAGGAAGAGTTTGAAAAATATTTCAAACAAAAAGCCTCCATCCTGTTCTCTATAAATCATCCTAAAGCCCTGAACGTGCAAATTACAAAGAGAAGCAAACTGTTAAGAGAACTCACCAAGAAAGACAACACCAGGTGACAAGATAAGGATTTTCCACCTAAACCCACAGCAGTGTTTTTATTTCAATGCAGAGGGAGATGCTGCTCTTTTCACCACATCCTAGGGCCTGAGCCCTTCTAGGGACACCTTGCTCATATCTAACAGGAATGCACCAGAGCTAAACGCTGGCAAAGAAGCAACGTGAGGACTTCTGAGACTAGTTCAAAGGACTTAAGAGTAACAAGATGTGGCCATCTGGGGCCTACTGACCATTTTTAAGTTAAAGATCAGGAAGTACAGTCCTGCTTTCACACCGCACAGCCTTTATCCTTACTCCTAGAAACCCAGGAGGAGCAATGAGGCTTCGGGGCCAGCCCCTTCTCTAAGCTCTGGACTCCTATTTCATCCAATAACCAGAACAGATGCTTTCTTCTGCCTGCTGGTGTGGGAAATCCCTTGACGAATAAAGTAACCGTCTCAGTCAGGCATACGTGTAAGGGCATGGAAAACCAATTTCCAACTGCTGGCAATGAAAGTGACATCCTATGGCCTGGGATGCCACAAGTCCTCTGTATTGTAAGTCCAATTATCACGGAGCACCAAAATATCTTTTACAATTAGTCACATTAACAGTTCTGTTTTCTCCATCCATCAAACTGCCCCCAACAACTGTATCTGACAGGTCTGTTAGAAGGGGGTGGCTAACTGTGATATCTAACATCCTTATTTCTTCTACCTGTAAAGTGCCCTTCTGTCAGAAACCTAAATAGCAGCAGTCTGGCTTAGCATGACGGTGAGGAGGAGTAGGTGCCTGGCTGAATAACATTAGAATTAACGAGGGGCTAGACCCCCAAACAGAGCCACCTGGTGGGCATGAACGCCAAGCAAGAATGGGGTTGTTTCTTTTAACGAACGCCTCTGGTTATCCATGGTTCAGCCAGTCCCTTATCTGTTCTGCACCGCCCCTCAGGCCGGGAGAGCAGGAGCCCAGCGCCCTCACCTTTCAGCAGATCCGGGTGCACGTAGCCCAGCACGTCCGAGACCCCCAGCTCCTGGCGGGAACAGGTGCCTCCGTGGATGTGCAACCAAGCGGGCTCCGCGAGGGCAGTGCACAGTGCCGTGATGGACAGGGCGCCAGGCAGGGCCGAGGCCAGGCTCCGCTCCGGCTGCTTGGGCAGAGCGCCGCTTCCCGGGGTTCTCCGCCGGCGCCCTCCCGGCAGCCCTGCGCCTCCAGGGGCATACATGCCCGGGGCCGCCCGCTGTAGCTCTGCGGTCGCTGCTGGTGGCCGCCGGCCTCAGCGGGGCTCGCAAAGCCTGTCTGTCCCGGGTGGAGAGCAACGCAATGGGCGGCTGGCCCGGAGCTGTCAGGGCCCGCACCAGAGACTGCGGGGTGGGACCCAGGGCTGAGCACAGACCAAAGGACTGCGGGAATTCGGGGGGCGGGGACCAAGGGCTCTGGATGAGGGGTGCTGGACCAGGACTCCGAGAGGACAGGGGGCTAGTTGGGCTGTGGACCTGCCGGGATGAACGGGAGGAGGTCCCGGGGGTCGGAGGAGACTTGGACCCGGGTTATTGGACAGAGGGGTGCTGAGGGACGGAGGATGCGGCTGGGCCACCGAGATCGGGAATCCGCACTTTGAGGTACGACCTAAGCCACAGTGACCCTCCCTACTCTAGTCCCTGCTCCTCACCGGTCAGCAGACCTCAACGCTGGGACGGCGCCGCTCCGCCGGGTCACAGGCTTCTCAGCTGCCGGGGCCGAGCTGTCCCAGGCCCCAATCCCGCAACGCCCAGCCGGAGTCCGGCTGATGCACTTCCGGCTTCCTCCAACCCCACCCCACCCCGGCCTCCTCCTCCTCCGGTTCACAGCCCTGCCCTCCGTGTGCGTCACTGTGTGCGTGCGCCTCCGGTTCTAGCGCAGGGCACTGGGGGACTGGTAGTTCGGGACTGTCCCCCGGGGCTTCGCATCGCGAAGGATGAGAAATGACCACAAGTCCCAGAAGGCCGCGCGGTCTCACCAGCGGGCGCGTCAGTTCTAAGGGCAACTCCTCTGGCAGAAGCTGTGCATCTGGTGGCCGCGGGGTCTTATAGTGATCACGGCGTTGCTTCCCTCGGTGGCTTCCTTCCTCACCCTAAGGCCGCCGCCATGAAGGATTCCCTGGTGCTGCAGAGCCGCGTCCCGGCGCACCCGGACTCCCGCTGCTGGTTCTTGGCCTGGAACCCCACCGGGACCCTGTTGGCCTCGTGCGGCGGCGACCGTAAAATCCGCATCTGGGGCACCGAGGGTAAGGCCTGGCTTGGCTTTGTGACCCTGGTGCTTAGGAAGACGCTACTTCTGGAAAGGGTTTGTCGGGAGAAGGAGTGTGCAAGCGTCAACAGACAGGCTGGGGTTGTTGCGGGAACTGGGATATGTGCTGAGCAGAAAAACGAGGAGAGTAGGCTGAAGAGCAGTTTGACAGTTTTAGAAGCCCGTCCAGAGGAAGTAGTTCGTTGCATCGTTGTGATAGCAATTGAGTTTGTCCCCGCAACAGGGTTCCACTTTCAGTACCGGTTTTTGATGGCATGATGGTGCTCCAGAGCCTGTTCTCTGCCTGTAGGTGACAGTTGGGTTTGCAAGTCTGTCCTTTCTGACGGCCATCAGCGCACCGTAAGGAAAGTGGCCTGGTCCCCCTGTGGAAATTTTCTGGCCTCTGCCAGCTTTGATGCTACCACTTGCATTTGGAAGAAGAACCAGGATGACTTTGAGGTAACCAGGCTGCATGGGAGCAGATTGTTACCTGTTTGCACCGCAGGGCTTGGTCAACCTGGACCAGTTTGGGCTTATGAGGTACAGCCTTTACTTCATTTTTGGACTATAGAAATGGGAGTTGAGTGTGCTCGTTCATGACTATAATCCCAGCATTTGGGACGCTGAAGGAGGAAGATTGCCACCTGGTTCCACCTAGGTCATCCTGGGCTAGAATGAGACCGTTTCCAACAATAACAAATTGTTATCTTAGATATTTTACTAGGGCCTAGGACTCTTGGCCATCAGTTCACAATGTTTTCCCCTTTCCAGTGTGTAACCACTCTCGAGGGGCATGAAAATGAGGTCAAATCTGTGGCTTGGGCCCCATCTGGCAACCTCTTGGCTACCTGCAGCAGAGATAAGAGTGTGTGGGTCTGGGAAGGTAAGTCTGCGTGCCCCTGGTTACAGTGGAGGATCAGCTCACTGACTTTCAGATTTGTCCCTGATAGGGTCAAATTTTTTTCTCCAACAGTTGACGAAGAAGATGAGTATGAATGTGTCAGTGTCCTCAACTCTCATACACAGGACGTTAAGCATGTGGTTTGGCACCCGAGCCAGGAGGTAAGTCAGACAAGGTAGGAAAGAACCCTGATGTGGAGGCTTGTGCCCAGCCTGCTTGCACTCTTCAACATCATCTTCACTTTCATAGGGATCCCTGAGACTGTCCTGCCCTGACAGGGTTTGATACTGTACCTCTTGGACAATACAGACAAATGTTAGGTCTCCTTTCTCACTCTTTCAGCTTTTAGCTTCTGCCAGCTACGATGACACAGTGAAGCTGTACCAAGAAGAAGGAGATGACTGGGTCTGCTGTGCCACTCTTGAAGGTCATGAGTCCACTGTGTGGAGCTTGGCCTTTGACCCCAGTGGCCAGCGTCTGGCATCTTGTAGTGATGACCGTACTGTACGCATCTGGCGACAGTATCTACCAGGAAATGAACAAGGTGAGGGGCTAGGAGTTAGAGATTCCTTTCCTTAGAGTTTTATAGTTTGCCAAGACGTATGGTCTACAAAGATAGAGTCTGCCATGAATCACAAATTAGATTTAGTTTGTCACAGTCTCTAGAGAAGCACCAAAAGAACTAGGGATAGCTTTGTGAAACAAGGCCTTCCAACCAAATTTTAAGAGGTCATGTAGAGTCTGAACAGGAGAATGTAACACAAGAATTCCCAGCATCAACCCTGCCCCCTCCCCCCACAAAAAAAATGCTGGGCATTGGTGGTTCATTCTTTTAATTCCAGCACTCAGGAGGCAGAGGCAGGTGATCTCTGAGTTTGAGGCCAGCTTGGTCTACAGAGTGAATTCCAGGACAGCCAGGGTTACACAGAGAAACCCTGTTTCTAAAAATCGGGGAGGCGTTGGCGGGGAAGCTGGGCATGGTGGCGCATGCCTTTAATTCCAGCGCTTGGAGACCTGAGGCAGCCAGATCTGTGAATTTAAGGCCAGCCTGATCTCCATAGTGAGTTCCAGGACAGCCAGAGTTTGTATAGTGAGACTCTGATTAGAAAGGAAAAGAGAAAACCCAGCAGCATGAGTTGGCTGATGGTGGGAATGTCTAAGCAGAATGTGAAGAGGATTCCTTGAGGCAAGACAGAGAATTGGGAGGAGTAAAGTTGGTTGGGTTGCCTAGTGGGTGGCCTTAAAGGGCAGTTTAACTGGTTAGATACAGCCTGCAGTGGGACAGATCCTTCCTTCTCAAAATTGTTGGGTGGTTACAGTTGTAAGGCAGATAAGGAGGGTGGGAACGCAGCTGGGGCAAGCACTCATTGAGTGATTGGCCAGGGAAGAAGGAAGGGCTTGGGTTCTCCTTGGTCAGAGTACAGGTGCTCAGAAAAGTCTGTCACACAGGAGTGGCATGCAGTGGCTCTGACCCCAGCTGGAAATGTATCTGCACTTTGTCGGGCTTCCACACCAGGACCATTTACGACGTTGCTTGGTAAGACCTCCATTCCATCTCCGTAGCAGGGATTTCACAGATGCCATGTAAAATTTCTTCAGATTAGGCCTGCTTATGGCTGCTCTGTGTAGTTCTAGGAGCAGGAAGTTGACTGTACCCAAGACTGTTTTGGGGATAAGATCCCAGGCTTCAAGGGCAGCAGCAGCCCTAAGGATCCGCATAGCACTGGACCACCCTGAGATAATCATTGACTGTGTGCACTTGTGACAAGGGAGTTTGCTGTTGGGTGACTGACTCTTACAGTCTAGAAAAGCTGTCTCATTCTTCCAAGAGGCAACTCTGGACCTGAGTATTGGATCTTAGAAATAATTCCAAACCATGAAAAGAAAATCTGTTGTGTATCAAAACTTTATTTATAGCAAATGTTTGCGAATATCTATCTCATGAAAATGGACTCAATGGGAGGCAGAGGCAGGCGGATCTCTGAGTTTGAGACTAGCCTGGTCTAGTCTCAAACAGAGCAATTTCAGGACTACACAGAGAAACCCTATCTTAAGAAAAAAAAAAGGAAATGGACTCAAGTATTTTGACTTTGGAAAATTACTGCATGCGCACACGCACATACACACACACTTAAAAGCTAAGTTTATAGCATTTGCTATGCAAAAACTGAAATTTACTTTTAGCTAAGGAGGGTTTGTGTTTTGTTTTGGTATTTAACTACTTAAAATTAAATCTATTTGGGGCTGGAGATAGCTCAGCAGCTAAGAGCTTTGTCTACTCTTCCAGAGGACCTGAATTCAATTCCCAGCACCCACATGGCAGCTAACAACCATCTATAACTCCAGTTCCACAGGATCTGACATCCTTTTCAGCCTTGGTGGGCACCATACACATAACAACAACAAAAAACTCTTTAAAAAATAAACTTCTCAAACATTCATTGCTAGACAATTGGAATTTTTGCTGATTTTATAATTTACTAAAATGAATAGGCAGTTGAATATTCCAGGTTCAAAAGTAATGGGGGACTCTTCAGTGCTTAGAGTTCTTGACTTTAAAAAGTTATGGTAAAACTTAAGTTAAACAATTGTCCTGTCAGCTGTGGATTCCAAGGATAGTTGTAATACACACCTTTTTGATATCCACAAACCGTTTCTCTGTGTAACTTGTCCTGTGTAACTGTAGCCCAGGCTGGCCTCGAACTCACAGCAATCTGCCTGCCTCTGCCTCCTTGAGTGCTGGGATTAAAGGGGCGCCCGGCTAGTAAAGCTTGTTAACCTCAGTGTTAAAAGGTTAAGGATGCTGTGACAGGGGCAGCTGCTTCTGCCAAGTGGGGAAGTGTGATTTAGTCTTATTGGTAGCTGGGCAACCAGGTGGGAACACCTGAGGACTACCAGGGCCTTTGTGGATGCGATGGATCTTAGTTAGGAAGCTTTTCTGTGAGACACTTGTGAGGCTTGAGGTTTGGGAAGAAAGTAGGCCAGGGACTATAGGACACTTCTCCCTAATTTACCAGGTTGGAGAGGCAGGGGTCATCTGTCTAATTACTGGCATGTATGTTCCTCCCAGGTGTCAGCTGACAGGGGCCCTGGCTACAGCTTGTGGAGATGATGCCATCCGAGTGTTTGAGGAGGATCCGGGCTCAGATCCACAGCAGCCCACCTTCTCTCTGACAGCCCATCTGCGTCAGGCCCATTCCCAGGATGTCAACTGTGTGGCTTGGAATCCCAAGGAGGCAGGGCTCCTGGCTTCTTGTAGTGATGACGGGGAGGTGGCCTTTTGGGAGTATCACCAGCCTGCAGGCCTCTGAGCTATGGCCTGACTTGGGAGTCTTGATTCCCTGAGAAGAGGTCCTAAGACTTTCCTAGTCACGGAGAGGACATGAAGCATCCTTAACCTTCATTTGGCTTTCTGACTTCCGTTTTGATGTGCTGAAGCCACAGGACCATTCACTGTTTCCCTCCCTTAATATGCGGGAGCCACGGGAAAGAGTCATGGAACAGCAGTATGCTCTATTACAAATTTTGCTTGATTTAGGGCTGGTGTTGCATTTTGGGGATATATATAGTATTTATAATCACTATATATGTATATAGGAGAATGAGTAAGTTTGAGAACTTTCTGAAATTGTGACCTTTATAAAAATAATCCATCTGTGCTTCATTGTTTTACAAATAAGATCATTTATCATTTCTTATAATGCCACTGTTTAGAATAGGTTCCGCCTTCCCAATTTCTATGGAAGTTCCTTGAATTTAAGACATGCAAGCCAGCTGTGGTGTCTTCCTAGCACTCCATCAGCAACTACAGAGCAATCAGAAGCAGGTTAGCCTTGGCTACAAAGCAAGTTTGAATCTAGCCTAGGAATACAAGACCCTGTCCCCAAATAGATGTTCAAAACTGAAGGAATTTTTTTTCCTTAAATGTAAGTTTGTTGAGAGTAAAAGGACACTCTGCTTTCCTTTACAAATCCTTGAGACATGCTTTTGTGACAACTGAGGATATGAAAAGAAACAACCCCCCCCCATGACAATTGGTTTTTAGTGAGAGGCAGAAACCTTAAGGTTTTTCTTAAGGCAATATTGTGGTCCTCTAAAAGACAACAGCAGTCTGGGTTGGTGGCGCACATCTTATGATCCAGAACGTAAGAGGCAGACTAATCTACAAAGTGAGTTCCAGGATAGCCAGGGGCCATCTCAAAACAAAACAAACAAGCCAAAGTAATAGCTTATGTTTGTGCTGCTGCCAAATCTGTTGTTTTTCAGAGCAGAGAGTAATTAAGATGTCTGGTAAGCCTTCTAGAAGAGTGCTGATTAGGAAAACACTGAGAAATGCTTATGGGTTTGAGTATGAGGGTTGTCTCCAAAACTGGAGCCCTCACTTAATTTTTTAGATCACAGTTGTGACTTTAGAGTTTTTGAAAAACAGTGGAAGCAATATCCAGAGCAATGGTGGCTAGACTGATCTGCAGATCCCTGGGAGTCTTAGGAACCTTTCAGGGTAAACACTGTAACATGACTGAGGAACAGTACCAGTTAAAATAGCCACCTATCTTCACTATCTTGTGCCCACAGTGGGAATGGAGCCAGCTTCCACCACAAGAAAGATGACTAATTATATTAAACACTGACCCCTGAGAACACTTCTGATACTGACAAATGAGAAAATTCCTTTCAGCCCTCAGCAGTGAAGTACAGTGATCTTGAGGAAAAATAGGGACAGTTGTTGCAAGCCAGGTTAGCTGTTCATGGCATGCCATTTTTATCAGAACTAGAAAAATAAGGAATTTACGTTTGGCTATTTAGCTGTATTTCTAAAAAATGAACATTGGACTTTTCAGTGAGTGTTCACTGCTAATGGTAAATGTGTGAAAGACAAAATTAAAATTTCTGAAAACTTGTGTTGCAGCAAACTTTAGTGGTAATCAAAGTAGCCAATGCATGGATATCTTGAAATATATGAGATGTTGTGGGTCATTCTACAAATGACCAATGTGCTGGTGTCACAAAATCATTCTGATAGCAACTCTAGGGTGGGGCAGTGGGTTTAATAGTGCAAGATGCATGCGTGCAGCTGTAGAGCCACGCTGCCTTAAGGAAACATCCACGTAGTTACCATACAGTATCAAAGGAAAGCCACAGTTATTTGAAAACTTCTTTCCCAACTCTGACACTGACATGGTTCAGCTAAACCACAGAAGACTGAGCACAGGAGTGTTAAAGATCCTGACTGGCTTCTATTAAATCAGTGATCGCACACTTTACCATGCTGCTCTTCTCCCAGAATTTATTTTTCTTAAAATAAATTTTCTTGTTATTTTAAAATGAACTGTCTTAATTTTTAATATAACAAGTATCAATAGATATAACTAGGTAATGAAAACTTTGAGGCTGTACTCAGTTTGCTGAAGGAGAAAAGGGTATCGAGACCATCATTTGAAAACTGCTGGCCTAGGGGAAAATGAATCATCTTTCAGCACTGTTCACAATTATTCCTAAAGAACAGAAAGCAAGCATTTGCAGTAGCATGTCTGAGACTGTAATAGGACATTTTAGGCTGACTACAATCACACCTTTCTGGTGTATCTTAACCACATTAGTGCTGCTTACAGTGGGGGAAAGGCTACGGAATTTCAGAACACAGATCACAAGAAACTCTACTTGTTGGTCTCTGGCCAAGATGCAGTCAGCCCCTATTGCCATGACACTAACTTGGCTACCACTCAGCAACATCTATAAAGGAAGCTGAGATAGCAGCATGAGAGAAGAGTAGCTATTATCTACCCTTGTTGGACCTTCAGACTAAACCCAAGAAAAGGGCAAGTTTGTCCTCCATGTACTTGATAGGAAGGTTCAGTGCTGAAAGGAGGGTTTTTCCAGTCAGTATCGCCTCTCAGGACACATCATTTTTCCAAATTATTTATTAGAATGTTTGACTTAAGGAACTACAAAAAGCATGCCTCCCAACTATTATACACAGTTCATGCTTGACATGACACTTGAAAATACTGGACCCAGTGCTTGAACTGCAAGGTCCAAAGTGGGAAAGTAACTGGACATGGATTGGGGACAGCGGCAGCCTGACTACACCTCAGGCTGACAGACCTGGTCTACAAAACCAATTCCCCTGAACTGTCCACATTCCTGTTTTCAGGTTCAGTGTCCCTCTACATGAGAGAATACTTCAGACTCAATCTGAATCACTGTCTGTCTCGGCTTCCTTCACATCCACACTGAATTTATACTCCTGGTCACATCCCATGTAAGCGTCACTCATGAAGTACAGGGTGTAGTTGTGGCCACCTGTGGCTGGGGCCACAAAGTCTAGCTTCACCTAAAGACAATAGGCAGAAATCAGGTTAGTAGGGACCTGGGAGGAGGCAACCCCTGGTCCAACTCAGGGATAGGTGCAGGGTAAACTGTACACACTCACCTTGGCTTTCTGCTGCAGGGTCAGCCTCTTGATGGAGATGAGGCTGTTAGACTTGGCGTCGCCAATCACAACCCACCAGCCCTCTTCACGTTTCTACAGGAACCAAAAACCAATAATTTGAGCATGTAAAAGTTGATGGCCACAGCCAACTACGAGAATGGTTATGAAAAAGTGTCAGAACTCAGATTAAAGTTTTCCAAAGTTGCTTGGTCTTCAAATATGCAAATAGACTAATTTTTCCGTTCTATCTCATTTCTATAATCTAAGGTACCTTTATTATTTAATGCTTGCCCCTGACTCTGAGATGCTGTATTAGAGATTCAGCCTTGGAGCATGGAAGCTTCAAGTTCTTAAGAAACTTAGGTACAAGGCAAACTAGCTGAAAAATCTTAACGTGGAGATGAACCTGCAACAGATAATACAAAGCAAGCCTCTGGGGCCCCTTCTGACATCTTGTCTCTCTGGAGAAGCCCTCTTTGTTAGATGTAGGAGAGCCTATTTGGCCCAGTGGCAGTTTCCTAGAAACCTGAATAACTTGTCTACAAAAGTACCTGAAATTTATCTAGCATCTGTGCCCAACTTTCAATTCTCCCATATAAAGATTAGATTTCCTTTTGATTTAAAAATAAACATGCTACTAGAATCAGAGTGAAATATTATTGCAGGAAGATTAGAAAAGCCCAAGTGTCCTGGAGCCATTTACAAATAAATATATCTTAAAAGTCAGAGAGATATTAACAGTCGGATGTTAACATTGACCAGCCATCCACTGTTTAAAAACAAAAAAGAAAATTCATGGTAACAAGACTAACACTCAGCCTTGTGAGTTCACTACCCCTAGTCTACCCTCCCCTGGTGGGAAATGTATTCTGTACTCAAGACCTAGCCAGTGAACAGGGCCTCAAATGGACTTGCTAAAGCCAGCTGCTAAGACATACCTGTGGGAAGAGAGGTGCAATGACAGGGCCCGTGACTTCTTCCTCTCTCTCCAGTTGCACCAGAACCACAACTGGCCCACCACTGGTGAAAACAAAACAGTATATGAGCACTGTGCTTGTGGGCAGAGAGCCCAGGGCAGGCCTCCTGGCGCTTGCTGGCTCACCTGCGGATGCTGTCTTTATCCACCACTTCATAGGACAGTTCAATATTTGGATAGCGGTTACAGAAGCGGGCCACATCCGCAATCTGGCTGTCAGTCAACTGAAGCAGTGCATTCCGCTCTTCATCCTCCATTTCCATGATGTCAAAAACACTCTCCACTCCCTATGGTGATCGTGCAGCGGTCAGAGGGGCAGAGAACACAAGCAAATAACATTGGCTCCAAAAAACTGTTCATCTTACTTCCTACACTGTCAAAGTCATCTAAAAGCAGCTTTAGAAAGAATGCAGACCACTGCTGGCCCCTTTCAGATCTCGGTTCAGATGGAATCCTTCAAAGGAACCAGCTTCCCCTGCTAATACTTGCTTCCCACAATCCACCTGCAGACTAGGACTTCTGTTCTCAGGCTCATCACCCAGCACTCCAGGTCTAAGCTCACCTTATCTGTGCAACGTTTGATATGCTCTGAGGTGAAGTGTGGCAGCTGCTTCAGGTAAGAGTCCTTAGACCACATGGCTTGGGTGACCATCTGAGCCAGTTCCATGGCTGCCAGAGCAGGGCTGAGCCACCCATTGCTAGAGAGTACATCCACACAGGCCTGAATGAGCCGGATTGCCTGCATGAAGAGAGAATATAAGAGCAGGTGGGCTGGGAACCCAGCCTTCTGAGGCCCCCGCAGCCAGTGAACATCCAAACCCCACCCACACTACCTTACTGAGGATCTCTTCTGTGTCTGACTGCAGTTCAGCACTCAGCTGCATGCGGGACAGGTGAGCCTGCAGCAGCAAGTTGGTCTTCACATGTGGGTCATTGAACTTGGGGTTATTCAGCTTGTGGGGGACCTTCTGAGCCAACTAGAATGTGAAAGAAAAACAGCTGGTGATAAATAGAGGACGCTACCTTGGAACTGCTCAGACCAAACACCACGTGGCCCAGCTAGACTCTAGAGGGAAGGATGGAGAATTGTAGGTATGTGTGGGAAGATGTATGAGGGTAAGAGAGGTATGAGAAATGTGTGAGGGTATTGGTGACAGGAAGCCATGTGCCAAGTTTTCACTCCTGAATGGTCTTCTAAAGCAAATGCCCTCACCTGGCGCAGGAGGTTGTCTTCATGATGTCTGATTGGAATGTTCTCATACTCTGCTGCATTGGAAATAATCTCAATAAGTCCTCGAACCTTGGTTTTGGCATTTAGAGACATGCTGAAGAGCTCTGAAAGAAAACAAGGTATTGTAAGAAGAGCCAGTGGTGGGGAAAGGAACAGAATAACAAAAACCACTGCCTGGGCTGCACTGTTTTCCTGCAGGGTCATCACTGTGACAAATGCTGGTGATGAGATCTTATCCTGACAGACTCCAGAAGCCATGCACCCCTGGTCCTCACCAATGGTGGTGTAGTTTATGTAATAGTAGGCAGCAATCATGCCCAGATTCAGAGGCGCCACATCCATCTCATCCTCAATGCTGATGCACTTGGACTGCTCCAGGTCACTGAGGGTCTGTTCCACCAGTTCTGACAGATGGTCAGACAGATGACGATGGGATATGCCTGTGGAGATGTAAGAGACAAGACTCAGGACACTGCCTAGCGAGGGCTGCTAAAACCTCCAGGGCAGTGTGTACTCTTCAGTTCGCTGACCCTGCAGGTTGTAGTAATTGGGGTTCTGTGTCATTCGGCGATACAGAAAGGTCCAGGTGAGGTAGTCCACAGCATCCTGCTTGTTCTCAATGGTCTTGGTAACAATCTCAGCATTGAAGTGGTCATGCATACAGTGGTCCAGGTGAGACTCTACTGGCAATGGCTCATATAAAAATTTTTTGAAAAAATCCTGTGGGTTGGAAAAGAGGAAGCATTAATAAAGAATCAATGACAACATGGTATTAAAGGGTCAAGGACAATCTAACAGGCCTGTGTGATATATTATAGCAGCCAACTAGAAGAAACAAACACTATCAAAGCAGGAATAATACAAAGCAGGAATGGGACATGCCAAGCCCCATAGTTAGAGCAGTAAACAGTGCATGAAGAAAGATAACAGGTGGGAAGACATGGACAATAACATGGAACCAGCAGCAAAAACAAAGAATAAAATTCTGCGTGGCTCCATTTTATTACAAAAGCAATCAGCAGAAAAGAGTGAAAAGTTTATTAAAGACACTAAAAAATATTCACGAATCTGTTCAAAGGATCTAAGTTCCCTGTAACTGACCTTTTTGGAGCCCTGACACATGATGACGCAGCGCCCCTCATCATCCTGCAGGGGGCGGTTGGCATGGCCCACCATCTGAAGCACATCGTAGATGGGGTAATCTACATAGCTGTGCAGCAGAGAGAAACGATGAAACATGTCAGGAGGCCTGCCTGCCTTC